GGTTCCAGGAAACTGGTATTGACCCGGAAACAGACGGACACCAAAATCTCTCGTCTACATCTTCCCTCGGAACACCCTCCAAATCATTTCCAACAAAAATCCAAAATGCCTGCCGCTCACATCGCGTCACCGCTCCCCATCACCCCGCCGAGGTCAAGCCTCCGCCTGATGACGGGTCAGGATCTCTACACCAGCCTCAGCGCTACCCTCAGCTCCACCCACCGCCCGACGACGCCCGTCCACATCATCCGCGAGCAAGACTACAGCGTCCCCGCCCCGCCCCCTCCGAGTCCCGTCTCTTTTGCGCAAGATCACTGGCCGGCTTCCCTACGCCGCTAAGTCGGCAGAATGTGCAGCTTATGAGCCGCAGGATGATCGAAAGAACGAGAGGGGGGCGGCATACTTTATTCACTTTTTTTTTTCCTTTGTTTGGTTGCTTGTGTACCACCGACGCAACTTGCGATTCCGACAAGGGGAGTTTAAGGCGCTCGAGTTTGATATTTGAGGGAAGGAGAACGGGTGGACCTTTTAGGGACAATCTTCGGTCTCCCGAAAACTGGTCTGGGTTACATAAAAATACGCACATGGCTTTCTCGCTTAGTTGCTGTCAAAGGTTCTCCGAGGGTTGGGTATCATTAGAGGCACAATTTTCAGTCCCAGCAGGACGCATTTTCTAGCTTTGTTTTCTTTTCTTCGGGAGAATCGGTATCTCGTGCGTTTTCCTCCACCAACTGGTCTGCGACTCCTTCAATCTGAACAGAGCTACCTGATCAATATCTCCCGTAAACACCGCACCGTGCCTGTTGAGTCGTGACTGGATCGATGTAATGAATCTGTTCAACTTCTACCGTTTGCTGCTTCTCAAACATGGCGGATCTGGTCGATAGTGAGGCTGCCGATCAAAAGTTGAATGCAAGCCTTCTCACGGACCGTGGCCACTGATGATCGAACTGCACGATGCTTCATCGAAATGCATGAGCAAATTTGGCAAAGGCATAGAAACAGTTGCTTCTGGCCTGAACGTGGTTTTGCAAGAGTTCTTTCGTACCTGGCACTACAAGGACGTCTCGTGTGGGTCGGACGGGTCGCTAGACGACGGGACAAGAGGCCTACTAGATGACGTTCGACCCCAGTAGTGACACGTGCACGGACCAATTGCGACCACTTTACGCGACGCACCAGGTTCCTCACGCGGAACAAGGCCTTGAAAACGCGTCCAGGCGCGCAAGTCACGAACAGGAACGCGTGTTGCTGAGGAAGGTGCAAGGGCCAGGAGCCCCCACTACCAGCATGCCTGCTCGCATAACTTCTGCCATGCTTCGACTGCACTCCCCTCCTCCCTACGGTCTGCACTTACCTTCACAACTTCAGTTCCTTCTCGGCTTTTGAACAATTGCGCCTTTTCATCACCAGCCCGCACGCTTCCTTCCTGATACACAGTAGCCGCCCTTATCACTTCAAGCACCACACACACCCATCATCCCCTCCACATACCGCCAGAGGTCACCGAGCAACCGCCTTCACAATGGCCCGGGTTGCTTCTCGCCGCGCGGTCAAGCCTGCCGTGAAGCCTGTCGCATCAAACTCGATCACCAACTACGCTCGACTATCCAAGGCTCAAGCTCTTGCCATCGACAAGCTTGACAAGAAGGTGCTCGCCGTGTGCCTTCCCCACTTCAAGCCTTCTCCCGTCGTCACAGTCACCTCGATCCATAACTCCAGCGACGAGGAGAACAGTCAGACTACCGCATCCAAACCTACTTTGGGGCTGGGGGAAATCAAGTCGATACCCAGCAAGAAGAGAAAGGCAACGGCCGAGGACGATACCTCAATCACGCTCGATCCAACCACGACATCCAAACGCCAACGTATCAAATCTGACGGACCCAAAGGCGATCTCCCTTCCGCGCCTGCCTGCCAGACAACCCGTTTAACGCAGACTACAATCACAAACTGCTTCGCAAACACGACGTCCACGGGCACGCTTCGCAAGACGCCCAAGTCGACTCTCATTTCGAATGCCAAGGATGACGGACGCGCTGCAGCTCGCAAAGTCAAGGGCTCGAAAAAGCCCAAGACTACTGCGCCGCCGTCAAAGAATGCGAAGGACAGTGTCCAACAGGCGCGTCTGCCCGCCGAGCTCGCTGAATTGCTATCCCTGCAGCGGGTTATTCTCAAGACGGTGACCCTGCAGATTACGCATCAGAAGAGCAACACGCCAATCGACATCAAGGCCATCACGCCAGACGTGTCTCGCACCTGGGGCAAGCGTAATGTCACCATTGACGACATTCGACGTTGCGTTGCCATCCAGGACCTGAAGAAGGACGCCCACAACGCGACCGCTTCGCCCTTCATCATCACTGATTACGGACGCGGCAAGCTGTGCCTCGAGATCGACACGGAGCGGGGAACCGGCCGCATCGACGAGGACAGCCTCTGCAAGCAGTTTCAGGAGAATCTGCATGCCTTGTGTGCCGAGCGCGCGACTGATGAGATGTCCGATCTCGACGTCTCCTTTGAATGCCTATCTTTCAACGACCTCCCCAAGGCAGACATCACTATGCGTCACCACCTCTCAGCCATGAAGCAGAACCCCCTGCTAGCCAAGGGCCAGCGCGCATTGACGGAGCTCAAGCACGGCTTCGTTATGAAGCAGCAGGAGAAGGAGGCCAAGGCGCAAGCCGCCAAGGAATCCATTACCAACGCCGACGGCAGCAAAATGAGCCTGCTCGACCGGCTTCGTGCGAAGGAACTCGCGGCCGCGCAGCTCGGCGCGCCTTCGGGGCCTGAGATTACGAGGAAGCGGGCCTTGCAGCATGTGTCTGACGTGTCTGCCATCATTGGCATGTTGGTGAACTCTTCCAACCCCGGCAAGGCACCCGTCAAGTCTTTCCCCATGAGTGTGCTCCAGCAGAAGCTGAAGGAGTCGTTGAGGGTACCGATGCCCGTTGAGGAGGGTGTATGCACAGTGAAGCTGATCGCGAACGAGGTGGCGCCCGAGTGGCTGCGGGTGTTGCCCATCGGGAGCAAGGAACACGTTGTGGTTCAGACAAGGTGCAAGCCATGCGAGGCTGACATTTCTGCGAGGGTGGGTAGGCTATGCTGATTACGCAGTCGATTTTTCTTCTGGATACCCTATTGTTTGGAGAAGAATTGGAAAAAAAGCAGAGGTTTCGATTTCTGAGTTTCGTCTTATTTAGTTAGCATGGCGTTGCGTCTGGAAACCCTGGCCAAGGCAGACGGCGGAGTTTTGTCTCTAGAATTCCCACAAGGATGGGCGAGGGAGGTTGTCCCTCATACTCAATGAAACAAACAAATAATATCAAGCACTTCCAATGCTATGCAGGGGAGGGAAAAGAAAATGTTTCATCGTCAGCTTCGTGAGCCAACGGTCTATTGTGAAGTTCTATGGACCGTGGCCTTCATCTTGCGGAACGCAACCATTCTGATTGAGCCTCGCTGCTCCTGCGGCTTCTTCAGGTTTCTTTTTAGTGTTCCTTCCTCCTTCGTAGAATTCAATACGATTTTCTCGTCGTCTTCAGCGACGAGTTCCCAAGCACCCGCACCCTCCCGGATAAGCAAGCCAGCAGGCTCTTCATTTATTTCTTCTTGCCAAACTTGGGCTCGCCGAGGCCGGTGCCCCTGAGCTTGACGTTGAGGACCCTCTCCATGGAGGCGATGATCTTCTGGTCGGGCGCGGCAGTGCCGCGCTCAAACTCGGCGACAATGGTCTGTGTCGTGTTGCACTTGGTAGCGAGGTCCTTCTGGGTCATCTTGGGCTCCATCTTCTGGCGGGTCTGAGAGATGATGTCGCCGACGTCCTTGCCGATCGTGTTGGGCTTGATAATGTCGTCGGAGCGGTCGACCTTTGTCAGGCGCTGGCCTTCGACGGCGGGGCCGGACTAATGGAACAGGTCAGTTATCGGCATTGTGTTGCACATGGCGGGCGTGGATGGTGGTTTGTGGTGGGAGCGGAGGACACGTGAGAGGTGGGGTCGGTGACGAGGGTGGGGGAGGGGAGAGAGGCCAGGCGGCGGGCGGTTATGACGATGGCGATGGAAGAGGACGGGGGGTGGGGGACAACGACGAGCTTCGTCGCGGACAGAAGGGGGGGGAGACGTACAGTGTTTGCTGAGGCGTACTTCTTCTCGGTAGAAACACCGCCCTGGCGGAACGCAGCGTTCATAGCGGCGGATCCCTTGACGACCTTCTCGCGGGGCGCACCGCCGCCGCGAGTCCTGCTGCCAATCTTGGTCTCGGTGCTCCAGTCATCCATGGTGGCGGTTTGAAAATATGTCAAGATTGTGTGTTCGTGAGGTACAAGAAAGCAAAAGTCTTTCTGGTCGTCGAGATCAAAAATTGGGCGTCGTGGGTAGAGGCGTTGGGTGGTATCGTGAAGGTTTGTCGGAGGTTGCAATTGGGGTCTGGTGAGGCTCGCTGGGTATAAATATCGTGGAAGGCAATGGACGGCGGTGGATAAAGCCCGCCGCCAACTCTGTCTTGGGCTGTGGTTTGACCAGCTGGGCCAGGCGTGCTGAGTCAATCGGCCAGTGAGAGTGAGGGGCGAGTGGCGGCGTACCCTCGAATGAGGTCCTGCTTGCGCCACAGACCCATCAGCTTCTCCGCTTGGCCACGGTTGACGACTTATGTAAGCCATGATCTGACCTGGGTCACTCCGTCTTGAGGCCTGGGCTGAGGCATGTTTGTGGCCAAGAATGTCCAGGAAGAGTTGTTAAACCAATTTGGAAACGTCATGTTGCCTATTTTGTCGGTTTAATGTTTCTATGTGCAGTGTCCGTAGCCGCAACTGCCTCTATCCTTTCCAGTTCGCATGAACCATGCAACGAACATGGGCAAAGTCATGACGTCTTGATCTGGCCTCGGACCCGCTGGTGTCACTATCCGTCTCACTTATCCTCCTGTCACTCCTGCCGACCACCATGACCGCATCCTTACATTAGCGCACCCGAAAATCCCATCTGATACCAGGCGTAAAGATGCTGGCCGGCATTGCCTATGAGGCCCTGCTGGGAGGGTGGCTAGACGTCGCCCTCATACTCGTCTTCACAGCTTGGCGGGAGGCGGCATTGATCCGCTACGCCATCATCGCTGTAGGGTCCTCACTATTGAACAACCATGTCACCTGGTTGGTGGTTTTCTGGCCATACATCAAACAATTGGCTATCATCTCCTTTGCTTTCCTGGTTCTGGGGAGCTGGTTACACGGGACCCCTGCCAAGCAAACGACGTGGGCGGGATTGGGGAAGCCCCTCCTCATCCCAGCCAAGACGACGCATCGGAGAACCTTCCCCGCCAAGCATGGCTTCTCATACTCCTATCTTGTTGTCGGCGTTCCAGTCGGCTGGACCGGGTCCGCCGGCGGCATGGTCTCTTCAGGGACTGAACTGGACTCTTCCGGTGGCGGTAACGCCATTTCATGGCTGAGAGCGAAGACCCATGGGACATGTGCATGGTTTCACGTCAACGAAGCAGACCACCTTGGGAGAGAGCCTGGGACCCTTGAGACCAAGTTGCACAACTACTTGAAGTCACAGGTGCGAACCTCTCATTATATCTCACCTCAGTGGGAGCGATTCAGCAACATGTGAGCTGATCATCATGCCTAGGACGTTGACCCCAACGCGTACCCTCATGCCTATCTCGTCACCGCGGCTAGCTTTCTGGGTTACAACTTCAACCCAGTTTCATTTTGGTATCTCTACACGACAGACAAGACGCTAGCAGCCATGATTCTGGAGGTCAACAATACCTTTGGCGAACGGAGAATGTATTTTCTGGCCATGGACGAAAGAGTGGCCGACGAACCCGATACCAATACTAGCAGGTTATCAAAGTCCTGGCCGAAGGACTTTCACGTCTCCCCATTCAATTCTAGAAAAGGATCGTACTCGCTGCAAATTCACGACATGTTGAGTTCGAATAGCAACAAACCAGGCCGTCTTGATGGCACCATTACTCTCAAGTCTTCCAAGGACCACCCCAAGATCGTCGCCCGCCTCTTCCAAGAAGGAGATCCCGTTGACCCCACAACAGCGAGCTTGGCCACGAAGTTGATGTTCCTCCTCAGCTGGTGGTGGGTGGGCTTTGTGACGTTTCCAAGGATCGTCAAGGAGGCAGGTCGGCTTTTCTTCCGCCGCAAGCTCCACGTCTGGTTCCGCCCCGAGCCCCTCAAAGACAGCATGGGCCGTGTCGCCGACACGACGGAGCGGCAGCTGGAACCCATCTTCCGGGATTATTTACACCACCTCGTACAGCAGTCGGGTGCAAATCTGACCGTCAAGTACACCTCGAGCAGTGGAGACGCGCCCCTCATCATTAAAGGAACCTCCTCCTCGGGGCCGGTCAGCCAGCACACAGAACCGCGAGCCGCCGATAGCGACGACCAAATCGAATTCAGAGTTCTGACACCGGTGTTCTACACCCGGTTCGTCCACTACGCGCATGACTTTGAGGCAGTCTTCAGCGAGCTACGCGAGAGCGAAACGATATGGGTGTCACGGCCCGAGCTGCTGCCCCGTCTCTTCGTGTCGAAGAAGGCTGCGGCGCCGCTGAGGATTAGCAGCCCACTGGACTTTGTATATTTTAAAGCGATCCGCGCGCTGCGAGAGCGGCCGGAACGCATCGAGCGACCACTGACGTCGAGCGTGGTGGCCGCACCGTCCGAGAAGGCGGGTACACAGCGGACGGATGACCTGAGGCAGTTCCGCATCTCAGGTATGGACGGCTTTGTCCTCGCACATGAGGACAAGCATGTGCGGAAACTCTACCGGTCGCTCGTGCTGAGGGTCTTCCTTGCTGAGAGGTTAGCCCTGGGTTCCATGGAGCTGCTCTGGTTGCAAGAGCTGATTCTCCGTGTCGGCACGGCCTGGGCAGTTTCTGAAAACACAAGTGGCTATCTCGCAGGCAGAATCATGGCGTAGCTGAAGAAGTAGAGAACAAAGTTCACAATACCTGGTCGTTAAATGCCAAGGTTTCGTAATCTCTCCTACGCAAGGCTTCGAATGTACCAACTAGCGCGAGTTCACCCGCCAAAATAGTCAGCACCCATCCCAGCCTCTTTACATCACTGGTCTGACAGGTGGAGTTGCGCCTTGAGGCAGAGTATTTGGAATCCTTTTGCAGCTGCAAGATGGCCCGCCAGGATGCATGACTGCCAGACAAATACCATGGTGGGGAGCCCACGGGTCCACCCTCAAAACAGCTCCCGAAGCTCCTGAACCTCAACAAAGGCAACGGGGTCTCGAAGCTACCGATATTTGCGGGGATGACACCCAACCACTGTGGGAACCCCCCTCCGAGACCATTCCAAATCCCCCGCTTCTCGTGTCGCGTAGCAATTTGCGAGTGGTCCCTCACACTGCAGCAACGGCAGTGACAAATAACGAGCGTAGTCGGAGCCTGTTCTTTGCAAGAGGGAGGAGGGAACGGGGGGTCCCTGAGCGCCAATTGACGTCGAGGTTCGGTCTCGGGCCTCCACCGCCCGCACCAGCTCTCGCAGCTATCTGGAGAGCTGAGCTGTTGGTCTCAGCAAACCCCCCTCCCCCGCCGTATCTGTGACCAACCCCGCCATCGTCGTCATAGGTGGTAAAGTCGTCGGGTCGTAGGCGTTGAGTGGCCAGCGTACCAAGCATTGGAGCTGGCGACGTCTTTTAAAGAAGCCACCCCGCCCATGCGTAATTTCGTACCATGTTCGAGCTTCTGGTCTTCTTCAATCGATCGAGACTCGTCCAGTAACGTCTATACTTTCTCGTTAGCCAAAGTCCCATCAAACACAGCTGCCCAACATGCCTCTTACCGGACACTGCCTCTGCAAGGCCGTCACCTACTCGGCCGACGTCGACAAGCCCCTCCTCACGGGCTACGACCACTGCGACGACTGCCAGCGCCAGTCCGGCTCAACCTACTGTACGCAGCGCCGCATCTCCCCTCGCCCTTTCCATAGTTGAGTCCCACTGACCCATCTCGCCAACCAGCCCTCGTCGTCGTTGTCCCCAAGGACAAGCTCACCATCAAGGGCCCCACCAAGTCCTGGGCTGGCAAGGGTTCTTCGGGCAAGGACGTCCACCGCATCTTCTGCTCCGAGTGCGGCAGCCCCATCGCCCACGACCCCGACGCGGCCCCCGAGATCATTGCCCTCAAGGGCGGCACCCTTGACGCCGAGATCAAGAAGACCCTGAAGCCCGTACGTTGGCTCCCCTCGCCTGAACCATCACTCGATGGGCTCCCCAGTTCGAACTGGCCCGGCTGACATGACCTACTTAGGATACCGAGATTTGGACCGTTGGCAAGCTTCCTTTCTGCCAGGAGACTCTGGCTCACCCCTTCAAGCACATGCCCGAGTAAGGGTATCCTGGAAGGAAAGGAGGGAGTAGGAGGAGGGGCGGGAAAGGTGGTTGTAGAAAAGCATAATGAAGACAAAATGAAAACGATATGAACCGAATAGAACTATTGCTAAACGAGAAACTGTATATGCTGAGAACCACGGGGTTTGTTGGGTACTTGAATGGCGAGGAAGCGTAAGAACCTGGATGGCTATTGTGGGGAGCTCCTCGACCCCCTTCCGCATCACACCACGCACCGCACATCGCACACTTACCTATGCCTGTACAGGTTGCCCGAGTGCACGCAAGGTAAGCATGAGCATGTGAATATGCTGCCATGTTGTACATTAGGCTCATGTCCACTCTTCCGTTGGTCTACCACGTATGAAAAGCACGCGCACACACCGGACAGTCGAGTTGGATAACTTCTCTTCGTGCTGCACCAAGTCTATCGATAAAGGAACTACGCCTTGTAATCCATTGCCACTTGACGATGTCCCTCTTCATTCATTGCCATCCCCTGTCCAACCCGAGGAGGCACCCATTTCTCTTGTCTTCCCGTTACTGCCCTTACAGCATGATACTAACCATCAGAGCCATAATTAATGATGCAAGGCTAACTTGCATCAACCCCGCATTGTTTGGTCTCATATTGTCGTCTCCAACTCGTTCGATGCTACCGCTGAATTTGGTCTGGTTCGTCCCAGTGGCGGTGGGTTGTGGTGGCGGCCAAGGAGCAGTCATGAGCGGCGAGTCGAAATCGGTCAGCTTGGGGGCTGTGAGCGTGTGTGAACCAATTCTGAGAGTAGGCTTGGGAGTATCAGTAGACTGATGTGAAATTTGTGCTTCGACCGAGGTGGCGATGTACAGCGTTGAAGTAGGGATTGCCTCCGTGGCCCGGAATCCATGAAAGGTACTAGGAACAGCCGTGGGCATGACCGCAGCGTCGCGAGCCAGTGACTAGATAGAAGCGAAAGGGGCGGTTGGGGCAGCCGTAGCCAAACAAAGTTGATCGTAGGCGTCGTGCAGGAGATTGTCGTAGAGAGCCAGCTCTAGAGTATCAATACCACCATTATCCCTCGTGCAGGTGTCGCAAGCCAGCTTCTCGCCGAAGAAGTCGCCATTGCACATGCACTGGGCGTGGCTCTCGAGCTCTGTAGGTTTGGTGCCGTTAGGACGGCAAAGGAACTCTTCGATGTGTCTTGCCTTGGCACATGGCAGCATATCATCGTAACTCTGGGGTACGGCCACAGCAGGATCGCAAATCTGAGCAGCTGTGAGACGACTGTCTTCGGACGATGGGCCAGTGTTCTTAGACGCAGCCAGGATGATGGAGGGGAGAGTTATGGCAGCGAGGCTGAAAGAAGAAAGCCGGGGAATCATCGTGGTGACGGGTTTTAGTAGTTGGTTGCAGTGAAACGTTGGACGGCGAAGGGGGGCAAAATATCATGCAATGATTCCAAAAATGGGTATGTGCTAGCGATGGCTTGGGCTGAGAATGATGTGAGCTTGTGATGTATGTTGGTTGAAGACGGTGGAAGATGATGCTGGGAGAAGAAGAGAGGAAGAGTTAGATCAGAGGGAGACGACTAGATATGAAGAACGGACGCAGCAGCGTATTGCCGCCTGGCGGTCATGCTTTCCTTGCGTGCGTCGAAACTAGAAATGCAGAAGGCAGTCAGCGGCGGCAGAGGGGAGGAGGAACAAATGACTGTTGGCTGTTCACTTTGCGTGACCTCCTGAATGCCGTGTTGCTTGAGTGTGAAGTGGCGGCAGGAAGGCTGGTGGCTTTGGGGTGTTCACGGAGTTTCTTTCCTGTGATATCTGTTCCTTGACTGGAAGGAAGTAAGAGCAACAGCATTCCGAAAATAGCTGGATGGCCGATAACATGCTCAAAATACGCATCATAGATGGTAGTAAGAGCAAGAACTTCTAATCAATCATCATTATTGGCATCATAAATCTAAGCTAATGCCATATCAAGCAAGCACTGCCAGAGCCACCATGCTGACCATGGCAACCACGCTCATCAAGCGGAGCCCGTGATCCCCTGCTCCACCCTCGGCCTCCGGAAACACCTTCTGAACCTCGCCCGTCTGAGAGGCAGACGCAGAAGTGCAACTCGCTGTCCCGCACTCGAACCCGCTCGGGCAACAGCCAGCAACAGGACCTCCCTCGTCACCACACAGGAACCATCCGCTGGCGCAGGTCTCGGTGGCCTGCGCGTCAGCCGCGTCCCTCGCGTCTGTGACCGGCACGACAATGGTTGCGCCGTCCGTCGTGATGGTCGTGAGGGGCGTCGTAGGGCAGTCGACTGTTGCACAGTCACGACCGGTGCGGCAGCAGCCTCCCCCCTCACGGGCAAGGCAGGCGTAGAACCCAGTCGGGCAGTAATCCTCGGGCGTCTCGGCAGGTGCCGTCTCCGACGACGTTGTTGACTCCGTGGTTTGGGACTCTGCAGACGTCGGTCGGTAAGGGGGAATGACTACGGTATTGACGGTCGTAGTTGAAGGCGTGGGTGTCAAGATGCTGGTGCTCGTTCTCGTAACCGTCTCGGCTTCAGGCGTTGCGGTGATGACCACTGTGACCACAATCGTCGTAGGTTCGTCTCCTTCTACCACGGTTGTTGATGTTGATGTGATTGTTGTCGGCCTCTGGGTTGTGCTTGTAATCACTGGTGGAGGGCTTGGAACGCCTTGCGAGAAGAGTCAGCATCAGGGGCTCTCCAGGTACGGCACTTGGGGGCGGAGACTCACATCCTACACCTTGACAGACGAACCCGGGGATACAGCATCCTCCTCCTAGTTCTGTCGAACACGTCGGGGAGCCATCCGGGCATGCGCCGATGGGTCCGCCGCACTCAGCCCCTTCCGGACAGCAAGCGACGTTTCCTACGGCGGCATTGTCCACCTCAACGCACACCTCACCATTCATGCAGCACTTGTTGGGTGCGCCAACGTTACTGCAGTCCTCCATACCCCCAGGGCAGGTCTGTCTCCCTTCGAGGACCTTGAGCACCTCGGCTGCTCTCCGCAACAAGTCCCACCCATCGCGCCTGCCCTCCTCTTCATGCAACTTGAAAGCTGGTCGGTATGGTCTACTCGAGGGGTCGCTTGCGTTGAGGGCGATGAGTTGCTCTTCGTTCACCGAAAGCTGCAGTCGATCGGCGAGGACCGCTTCTCGTGGGCTGAGGAAGGGCGGTGCCTTGTCTGTATCGATGGCTGGGCTGTCTGCGAAGGCAAAGTGTTCAGGCAAGAGCTTCTCTGATGCGGCGAGGGGGAGTTTTCGGATCGCAATGGGTTGACGAGCCTGCTGGCTCTGAGCCTGTGATGTGACGAGGAGGAGCAGAGATGTCGGCAGCCCTAGCAGCGTTGATTGGCGCATGGTTGGGAATGGTGCCCAGAAGGCGCTCGTTCTGGCCTGGAGGCGTCAGGCTTCTCGTGCCGGCTTACGTTAGTCAGCGACAGGCCTGTGTCGTTGGATGAAGTCGAGCAACACACAGAAAATGGCTTTTGCAGCTGATTATTGCACGAAGGTCATGGTGGCCGAAGTGCAAAGTTGGGTTTCGCGGCGGGTGAATGGTAGGCCTATGTTTGTTGATGGCTACAAGAGATGCCAGTCCGGGTGGCTGGGAACTGGGCCCGAGCCTTCATGGCCAGATCCATGTTGGTAAGACCATTGACGTTCGATTTGCCGACCACAAACACCAGGCGCATGTGCGCGTCAATCCGACCGTCTGATGAGCCACTTCTGAAGTAAAAATGTCGTGAAATCTACGGATTGCCTCAGTCAGACGACCTGCGATGCTTCAGAGGCGCAACAATGCGATCGACGTCATGGCAAGCACCAAAGGTTGGGTACAAAGCCTCGGGACAGGGGTATGGAACAATGTGGGACGTCCTTCTTATCTTATCAGTGATGGTCAACAGACTTCCTGATCCAGGTGCTGGCTGGATCTGGGAGCGTCGAGCGAGCACGCACTTTAGGCATCCTAAATCCCTGAGCTGTTGTTCAATTCGTGGCCTTCATGGGCAAAAGAACAGGTCAGCAGCAGGACCACCCTTGGAGTTCCGAATTGAGGTCGCACCAAAGGACAGCAGCCCATGCTCACCGTGACAGGCAACCATCGAGATCATGTTGACTCTACGAACTCATGATAAAACATTTCTAGCTACAATGCAACGCCTTTTCAATTCCTCACTCCTCATGTTCCAATCATTCGTTAGATGCGAGCCAGCCTCAGCATCAGCCTCAGCTCACCGATGGCCTGCTCCTCCTCGAGGATGACAGACTCGCCCGAGGCGCCCTCGAGAGGCTCGAGCTTGCCGCGCAGGGCATTCACGAAGAGCTCCTCCTTGGACTCCAGCACAGCGTCGACGTCGGTGCTTTCGGGGTTGGCCACGACGCCGTACTGCATGTGCACCTCGTCCGTGGGAACAAGGCCTGCCTTCTTGCGCATCCTCTGCACACGGTTGATGACCTCACGGGCCAGGCCCTCGTACACCAAATCCTGCGCCGAAACATCGGTATCGAGGAGGATGATAACATCGTTGGAGAAGGCAGGTTCCAGCTGAGGAAGGTCTCCCGCCGCCTTGGCGCCATCCTTGTTGGCCAAGACGCGCACAATCTCCAGGTCGTTCTCCTCTAGCTGAATGCCATCAATGTTGATGGTCTTGTCGGTGAGGTATTGCCTCAGCTGCTCCTGCGAGAGCTTGGGCAGCGCCTTGCGCACAATCTGAACATCCTTCTTGAGCTTCTTGCCCAGAGTGGGCCAGTCGACCTTGGCCTCCAGAATGATGCCGTACTTTGCCTCGTCATTGCTCAGGACAACCTCCTGGACGTTGAGCTCGCCCATGACGTACGACTGCAGGGACTCGACGTCCTTGAGGTGCTGCTCATCAGACACAACAACGATGGAACGCAGGGGCGTCTTGAGACTCAGCGTGCGTCGCTCTCTTGCCGTCCTGCCCAGGTTGATGACCTTCTGCATGGAGGAAACCTTCCTCTCGATCTCGGTATCAAACAGTGCCTCCTGGACCGTGGGGAACGGCAGGAAGTGCACACTGCGGGAATCGGTAAAGTCCTTCAGGACCTCGCCGAGGAAGGGCTTGAGCAGGCTGTAGATGTGCTCAGTGATGAAAGGAGTGAAGGGTGCGAGGGCCCGAACAAGGGTCAGAAGGACCTGGAGTAGAGTGTTGAGGGCGGCCTTGGTGTCGTCAAGGCCCAGACCGGCGACACCCTTGAGTCGCTTGCGGTTGAAGCGAATGTACCAGTTGGTCAAGTTGTCGAGGACAGACAACAGGCGCGGCACGACCGTGTACAAGCGGTACGCGGCCATCTCTTGGTCGATAAACTGCAGCATGCTCTGGCAGTCGGCCAGGATCCATCGGTCCATGACGTTCTCGAGGCCCTTGCCTTCCGTGAATGTTGGATCAGCAGCGAAATCTTCGTCGTTGTTCTTCTTGTACAGGAGGGCTTGCTCGCAGAAGAAGCGGTAGCTGTTCCACAGAGGGAGGAGGACCTTGGACACCACTTCCTTGACGCCAGCCTCCTTGAAGCGCAGAGGCTCAGCCCTGACAACGGGAGAGTTGATGAGGTACAGGCGGAGCGCGTCGGAACCGTACTCGTTGATGACGTTGCTTGGGTCAGGGTAGTTCTTGAGACTCTTCGACATCTTGACGCCTGCCAAATATGTCAGTTCACGACGTTACGGATTCTCCATATCAACTGACCGGTAGACGCAAGCACGAGGCCGTTGGTGATGCAGTTGCGGAAGGGCGATACACCGAACAGCTTGTTGCCGAGAACGGTCAACGTGTAGAACCAGCCACGGGTCTGGTCGAGACCTTCGGCAATGAAGTCGGCAGGGAAAAGGCTGCCCTGGAAGTTGTCGGCGTTCTCGAAAGGATAGTGGGTGGAGGCATAGGGCATGCTTCCGGACTCAAACCAACAGTCGAAGACCTCGTCCACACGCTTGAGCATACCCTTGCCCTTCTTGGAGGGAATCTCAATGTGGTCAACCTTGTCACGGTGCAGGTCGTTGAGCTCGCCAGTGTACCCGCTGAGCTCCTTCAACTCGGCGATGCTGCCCACGCAGACAACCTCCTCAAAGTCCTCGCTAACCCACAGCGGAATGGGGGTGCCCCAGTAACGGTTCCTCGAGACGTTCCAGTCGTGAGCATTGGCGATCCAGTTGGCGAAGCGCTTTTCCTTGACGAAGGAGGGAACCCACGTCGTCTTCTCCAGGTTCTCGAGCATCTCAGGAATGGAGTTCGTGACGCGGATGAACCAAGAAGAGACGGCCCTTCGAATGAGTTGCGTATCTGAGCGCCAGCAGAACTTGTCAACGTGGGACGTCTGAGACTCAACAAGCAGACGTCCGG